CCATGAGCTTTATCAAACCTCGTCTTAAAACTATGTATGGTTCCCGCCTCCGCTATGTCACTTTCTAGACTCTTCTACTGCCTGACAACTCTATGACTGAAGAAATGTTTCCTAACATCCCTTTGACTCATCTGACTCTTCAACTTCCAATTGTGACCCCTCGTTTCTGTGTCCACTCTCTGGAACATCCTGTCTTTGTCCACCTTGTCTATTCCGTGCAGTATTTTATATGTCGTTATCATGTCTCCCCTGACCCTCCTGTCCTGCTGTGTCGTCAGGCCTATTTCCCTTAACCTTTCTTCATAAGACATTCCCCTTAGCTCTGGAACTAACCTTGTCACAAACTTTTGCACTTTCTCTAATTTCTTGATGTGCTTGATCAAGTGCGGGTTCCAAACAGGTGCTGCATACACTGTGTACAGTGTCATGAACGATTCCTTACTAAGGTATAGGAATGCTGCTCTCAGGTTGCCAGGCACCTATGTGCTGCAGCAGTTATTGTTTATGTGTGCTCATGGAGACGTGCTCGGTGTTTATACTCACCCCAATCTTTTCCTTGTGCGAGGTTGCAGTCTATGTGGCCACTAGCTATACTCATCTGCAGTCCTTCTGTGCCCTTTCCCGATCTTCATGACCCTTTGCATTTGGCAGGTGGCAGGAGTTAAAATTCGAGAAGCCAGTTGCCTGAGTCCATGTGTCCAGTCTGTCAGGTCTCTTTGAATTTCCGCCTGATCCGCCATCTGATTTATTCTCCTCATTAACTTCACATCATCTGCGAACAGGGACACTTTTGATTCTAACCCTTCCATTCATTCCTCATTACATATACCAAGAATAGCACTGGTCTGGACCAGACCCCTGTGGGACCCCATCTCCTTCACAGGTGGCCCACTGTGGTACCTCACCATGTACCATGACTCATTGTTGTCTCCCTGTCAGGTATTCTCGATCCTTGCATCCCCTTTTCCTGTTAATGCCCCTGATCCTTATTTCTGCACTATTCTTTTGGGGAAAACTGTGTAAAAGGGCCCTTTCTTGCAGCCCAAGAAGTTTAATCAACCCACCCTCTCCTCATGTCTTATTTCTTTACTTTATCGTAAAATTCCAGAAGGTTTTGACCCAGGATTTGCCTTCCATGAACCGGCTGGTTGGCATTATACTCTTGTTCCAGTCAAGGTGCTCCCCCACTCACCTCCCAAAATTTCTCCTAACTTTCATACTATACACTCAGGACAGAGGTCCCCCTTTTTTTAAAAATGGGAAACTACATTTGCATTTTGGTCTTTTTGTGTGTGAGGTACTATTGTGTTATAGCTTGGGGGGCATGCCCGACCTCAAAAGGGTTTTTATGGTTAGTTTCAGTGTAGAAGTCAATGACAAAGAGTCAATTGGTGGCCGGGGGCTATTATGTGCCTGTGTGTGTTCGTTGATTACTTTAGTGCTGGGCAAGGGTGGGGACATGGGCTGTAGCATGCAAAAGTACTTAAACCTTTCTCATACATGTTAAACATTTTCAAAAGGCTACCCCCCCAACCCTGGAATCAGGCTTTAAGGGGTTTTCTGACAATTCAGGGGCCCATCGCAGCTCAGTACCAGTTGACAATCATAACGTGGAACAGGCAATTGTGGGGTGATGGGGTTACAACACATTTTATCACCCTTGTATATTCACAGGTCGGTTGAAGCACGGTTTTTCCTTGTCTCTGGCTGCTTTTCCTTTCCTTGATTACCATGTCAGCACTTTATTATCTATTTTCTGTAATTATGTGCTCATTATACTTGGTGAAAGGAAAACACAATTTAAAAAATTAATGTGTTTCTTTGCTGAAGCATCCCTTTTTCTCCCCGGATAATAGGGCGTGCTTACTTGGTGGAATATGGGTTTTCCTGTCCGAGGGTGGACTTTTTAGCAGGGGCAGCTTAGAGTTGAAGCTGGAGCAGGGGTTATCTCTATCTTTAGATTGCTTGCTACTGGGATTCGGGCACTTTTTCAATGCTTTGATTTTTTTGTTCAACTTTCTATTTACTTTGCCTTGTCAGTTTTTTCAAATTTTTGTGTGTATTTTACAGTCGGGTTTGCTATTGCATGTCAGCCTTGCTATTTGTGTTGTTCTGCAGTTAGCTTTGCTACTGTGTGTCAGTCTTGCTATTGTGTCAAGATTCTGCAGTCATACTGTACATAGCTGGTTGAGCATGTATTGCAAACAGCATGTTACATTGCGGTTAATGCCACCTATACAAGTCAGATGGTTAGTGACTGAATTAACTCTCCTAAACTTGCCCAAGTTTTCTCTAGAGCGTTGTTGGTGAATTGCTCGTTCTATTGGCATTGAATATCAAAGCACTCTTACTGCTGCGCAGCTTGTAACATTATACATACGAAGCTGAAAGCAGGAGAGATGGTATACCAGATTCCTGTTTCTCCCTCTAGAGGAGCTAAGCATAGATCTCCACTTAGGTTACTGCAGAAGAATGGGGCAGACAGAACACCTGATTAAAACCAGCAGTGTCAGAGAGGTGTACCGAGTTTGTCTGAAGGTGAGTCAGCTCATTGGCACTTGAGTTAGCAAAAATCAATCTTGAGCAGACCAGGGAACAGCGAGCAAATGCTAAGGAAGAGTTTGATAGAGAGAAGGAGAGGAGACAGTTTACACAAGCTCTAAGTGACTTTAGTTTGCAAAAAGCAACACAGCTCCTTCCTCGTTTTATTTAAGCCGAGCCTGAACAGTTTTTCATAGCATTCGAAAACCAGGCTCGAGCCTTAAGGTAGCCTGAAGAGCATTGAGCGTCATCGGTGCATACAGCGTTGTTTGGTAAGGTACAAGAATTTACATCGCTATTAAATGACACTGATTTTGGTAATTATCGCTTGGTGAAAACCAAAGTTCTTGGTGCTTATCAGTGTATTCCTGCCAAGTACAGAAATGAGTTCAAATTAGGCAGTTCTCAAAGCTGTTGCTGGCTACAACCCCAACTATGGTGCTAATGTGAGAATCGTGAGAATGCTGTACATAGCCTATGTTAGGTCCTTAATTGATTATGCTGCTCCCATGTTGATATTAGCTAGAGAAAGTTCTCTCCGACCCTAGGAGTTACTGCAAAGTGAAGCTCTGAGAAGAGATAATATTTTCTTCGGATTTTTAACCCCTGAGGGTTAGCCACCCAGGATAACCCAAGAAAGTCAGTGCATCATCGAGGACTAACTTATTGAAGTTGAATTTGGTGAAGGCTCCCTCGTGACTGATCTCATTTTGTCGGTCTAAGGCTGTGCACGTACATGTCTGAACCTCGATTATGTTGTGATTCTGTTTCGCTCCATTCTCTCTACATGTCCGAACCACCTCAACAACCCTTCCTCAGCCCTCTGCACAACAGTTTTGGCAATCCCACACCTTCTAACTTCCAAACTACGAATTCTCTGCATTATATTCATACCACACATTGCCCTCAGACATGACATCTCCACTTCCTCCAGCCTTCTCCTCACTGCAACATTCATCACCCATGCTTCACACCCATATAAGAGTGTTGGTACAACTATGCTCTCATACATTCCCCTCTTTGCTTCCAAGGACAAAGTTCTTTGTCTCCACAGACTCCTAAGTGCACTGCTCATCCTTTTCCACTAATCAGTTCTATGATTCACCTCATCTTTCATAGATCCATCCGCTGACACGTCCAATCCCAAGTATCTGAATACATTCTCCTCCTCCATACTCTCTCCCTCCAATCTGATATCCAATCTTTCATCACCTAATCTTTTTGTTATCCTCATAACCTTGCTCTCTCCTGTATTCACTTTCAATTTTCTTCTTTTACATACCCTAGCAAATTCATCCATCAACCTCTGCAACTTCTCTTCAGAATCACCCAAGAGCACAGTGTCATCAGCAAAGAGCAACTGTGACAACTCCCACTTTATGTGTGATTCTTTATCTTTTAACTCCATATATATATTACATATATATATATATATATATATATATAATATATATAATATATATATATTTTATATAAAATATATATTATAATATATATAATATATATAATTATATATATGCAGTGGAACTTCGGTTTTCTTTCATTAATTCATTCCAGAAAGTCTGATAAAATTTCAATTCAACGAGAACTAAAGCAATATTTCCCATGAGAAAAAACCCGAAAAATCAATTAATCCGTTCCAAACCCCCAAAAGTATTTACAAAAAAAAATACATATTATTGGAGAAAAAAACTATGTATTTACATACAGATAGCAAGGGAAAATGTTTGTATGAGGTATCCGGTAAATGGCACTGATTGCCATAGGAGTCTTAAGGTTTTTTACAGTAAAATTTGCAAATATGTATTCTTCATATTCATCACTATAACAAGTGTTGTTACAGAATGATAGTTCATTAGAGTAATAGATGGCAATACCACCCTAGCTTGGTGTGGTCTGCAGTTGTGGATTACTGTGTATCCTGGTAATTGGTATATATCTGTTGTGTCTTGTTTATGCCAAGTTTCAGTAAGAATAATACAAGAGAAAGGTAACTTTATGGACTCAAGGAGAGCCAGGAGGCCATCAAAGTGTTTACTTAGGGTCGTAATATTGTAATTGAGAACTGTAATATTTCTGGTATAACTCAGAACAGTGCTGGCTTGTGATGCTGTGTAATACAGACAGTTACTTTCCATTAAATTTTGATTGGGAGTTAGATTATAAAGATTTAGATGTGGGTCAACATGATCATTCAGCATTTAGGTTAAACGGTAATTATTTGTATTATTTACAGTATGTAGAACTCCAATAATGATATCTGTACTATTGGGATGTTTGGACTTGTGTTAGAAATCTGGTAGCTCAGGTGGTAGAGCTCTGGACCTGTTAATCTCGGGTCCAGGGCTTAGGCTTCCTCTCCATCTTTCTGTTTATTCATACATATTATAGATTTTATTCACAATTAAGTATGTAGGTGTTAAAAAATTATTTAACCTGTGCTTATTTGCTTTTTTTAGATTCTGGTGAAGATTCCTGGCCTTGGGAAAATAAGGATATTTCATGTTACACACTGGACTCCTCTGTGCCATATACGAATTACGGTTTTTGTGTAGGAGTTGTTGGTCAAGATATAGACACTGAGTGTTGCTCTGTGGAGACACCACAAACTGGTAGGTAATACTCTGGTTAATATATTTTTCACTAGATGCAACTCACTGTAAAAGTTGGAAATACTCTCCTCATATCAAGCCAATATTTTACATTAATGATCAGCTATTTTAAAATTTAAATTGCATCTTCCCGAGGGGATTATCGCATCAGTAAAAACAGGGAAAAGAAAAAGGGATCACAAGAATCTCCCAGTTAAGAGAGAAGTTTTTAAACAATGTTCCGGTCTGCGCCCCTTGTTAATTATCAGAAAGAACTGACATATTGTTATATAGTTCTCTCCAAAATTTTTGGAGTTTTTGGATAAATTGCTCTAGTAATATAACCTGAAATCTTTAAATGAGCAAGTTAAGTTACATCTGGATTTGACCACCAATCTTGGTAGATGTTCCCTGGAAACATTTGAACAAGGAATGTTTTAGAAGTTCTGGAAACATTTCCACACTAATTCCTGGAAAATTATGGAATTTTTAGATGTTCCTGGAAACTTCCCACACTGAATGTTTTAGATGTTCCGGGAACTTTCCCACACTGGAATGTTTTAGATGTTCCTGGAAACATTTCCACACTGGAATGTTTTAGATGTTCCTGGAAACATTCCCACACTGGAATGTTTTAGATGTTCCTGGAACCATTTCCACACTGGAATGTTTTAGATGTTCCTGGAAACATTTCCACACTGGAATGTTTTAGAGTTATTCAGCTATTCAATCAAGTCAGTAAGTTATTCATTAAGTCATACAGTAAGTCAGTCAAGTCATTCAGTCAGTCAAGTCACTCAGTCAAGTCAGTCAGTAAGTCTATCACTCAAACTCATGTTTACCTAATTTTATGTGCACAAAGCAAGCTTTATTATGTTTTCTTAGTTAATTCTAAGACTTAAATGTTCATACCTTTTCTTGCCACTTTCAGCAACACTGGTATGCTTACTGGGTGTCATGATTGCTTGGTAGATACAAGATATGGTAATTAAAAGATCAAAACACAATTCACAGACACAGCTAGCATGTAGCAAAGAAGAGGGACTAAACATAAATGAAGTACGAATGCTGGAATGGTGGTGTTAGGGGGTGGCAGGGGATGGTGTGAGGTCTGCCCTGCTCATCCACAACAAGGTGGCCACTTGAGGAAAAGGGAATTTTCCCCCCTCTTGCAAAATGAACTGTGTTAAATTAATTTTACGAAGTGTTGCATAAAACTGTGGCACTATTCTTCAGTCATGCTATACCCGAATCGTGCAATTTAAACTCGTGTTAAATGACGGTCTACTGTATTCATTATTTCTTCCTTTGTTTATGATGGCATCTAAAGGCAGTTGTTAGAAATGCTTAAACTCAGTGAACATGGTATGTCAATGTAATAATATGGCTGTGTAGTGTAACGCAGGGGGCTACATGTGTACCGACATCTACCAGCTACCTACACTGAATTCCTACAAATGAATACTATTTACTTCTCACCCTACATTAAGAGTACAGTGGACCCTCATTTTTCATAAATAATCCATTCCAGAGAGTGTGACTAATGGTGATATTGACAATTTTCAAAACCATTTTCCCTATAAGAAATAATGTAAGTCCAATTAATCCATTTCAGAACAAAAGTATTAACAAAAAATATATTTTTTTTATATGATATATAGATTTACATACACTGAAAACAATAAGACATGAAGAATAAAACAACAATAACATCACACTTACCTTTATTGGAGACTCTTGTTGGTGTATGAATAAAATGTGTCATTACGTATGTTAGGAATTGTGGTGGCGGCTGGGAAGCATGTTTGGAGGCAGGACAAGATAATCCTTCAGTATGACACTAATATCAACTATACAGCTTATTAACTTATCACAATTCATCTAATATGACATAATAAACAATATTAATACTATAGAAACATGACATATACTCTAGAATGAATAAAAAATGTCATTACGGATGTCACGAGTGGTGGTGTGTTTTGTTGTTGGGTGTATAAGGGCCACTGAGAGCATAAACCATACACTCCAACAACATTAGAGGAGTTAGGTTCGTGCTGTCCTTTTGCTATCAGTTAATCGCTTAACTTGCTTGCTACACTTTATCTACACTGTAAATGGTTGCTACACTTTTTCTCTGGCTGGCGCTATAGCCTTTATCGACTTGTGCTGCTTTAGTATCGTACATATCATAGAATCACTGAAGAAGGTACATTCTCCCGTCTCTTCCTCCTCCACTTTGGTACTTTGCTACGAGTTCTTTGTTGAATTCTATCGCGTTTCTCACCTTCTTTACCAAAAGCCTGGCACTAGGAGCTTTCTTTGGGGCCATGGTGGCTTATTTAGCAGTTGCAGCCACTAAAACGAATTGAATATTATGAAATGTATCGTATAAACATGTGGGATCATCGTCACTCACTAATAAAAAATGGCACACTGGCTGTGAGTGGGGTGTGGGGCCACTTGGGGCTGTGCATACACGTCTGGGATGAACGACAGTTTGTGAGTCAAACGACGATTAGCGAGTCAATATTTTCATGAAAAAATGAAGATAACGGAGATAAAAAAAAACCTCAATTACTAGGAGCACTTGAAGTTCCTGAACGTGTACTCCCTGGAACGCAGGAGGGAGAGATACATGATTATATACACCTGGAAAATCCTAGAGGGACTAGTACCGAACTTGCACATGAAAATCACTCAGTATGAAAGCAAAACACTCGGCAGATGATGTAACATCCCCCCAATGAAAAGCAGGGGTGTCACTAGCACGTTAAGAGACAACACAATAAGTGTCAGGGGCCCAAGACTGTTCAACTGCCTTCCAGCATACATAAGGGGGATTACCAATAGTCCCCTGGCTGTCTTAAAGCAGACACTGGACAAACACTTAAAGTCGGTACCTGACCAGCCAGGCTGTGGCTCGTACATTGGATTGTGTGCAGCCAGCAGTAACAGCCTGATCGATCAGGCTCTGATCTACCATGAGGCCTGGTCACAGACCGGGCCATGGGAGCGTTGACCCTCTCTCCAGGTAAACTCCAGGTAAACTCCAGGTATTTACATCTTTGCAAACAAAGAACATGACAAAAATCTTTCAAACAAATAGTTTGTGGGCATAATTACTAAATAATTTGCTCCAGGACAGCATGTTGTCTCTCTGTGTTTTCATTACAACTTGTGTAGTGAGGCATAGTAAAAAGAGACTTAATACCTTAAGCTGATATATTTGACGAAGACGACTATGTTCAATGATCCTTCAAAATTTCTCGAGGGATCGCTACTCCAGAAAAATGTTGACAATAAAACTTTAGAATCATCCATGGAGATAATATTTGGATGAGGCATTGCTTCTAGAAAGCAAGAACTGCAATTCATTCTGGTTAAGATATATTTGTCTTTCTTTATAGGAGGAGACAAAGGAGCAACTAAAGCAACTGTTGAATGTTGATAAGGATGTGTACAGCAGTGTGCATATTAATTTGGATAGTCATGAAATAAGACATTTATTGGGAAAATTAATATTTTTTTTTGAAGAATACACGGCTATGATACGACAGATAATTTATTTAATAAGAGATAAGACTACCCTTCCCTTTTATAAACACTGCTAAAGCTTTCACATAGAGTCGACAAATGTTGAACACATTGTGGCAAGTTCATCGTGATCATGCCTGGTTCTAAAAACGGAAACAATTAGCTTCTCCACAGTTAAACAGTCCTGTTGTACGTTCCTGTGTTTAATTATTGCCCATAGATTTTCACTTGGGTTGAGCTCAGGAGAGTTTCCAGCTGGAAAATGCCTTCTCCGTCAGAAGAGTCTATCCACAATGGGAAGCAAAGTAAATTGCCAGGATTGCCTGGCAACGTATTTGCCAGGCAATCCTGTCACTGTTCATCTTGTCCAATCCAGTCACTATCCATCGTTCCTTCAACAATAACAAGTCTTCCTGGCTTTTACCAGTAAAATTACCCCAAAATATCTTAGGTGGGTATTTTGGCACTTGTTGCTCTGCCTTTCCTCCGTCTCACTATCACTGATCTGTACCCATGTACTTCAAAATGCACCTTATCTGAAAATATAACTTTTCTCCATTCATCTGTCATCTGTCACTTATGATCAAGTGCTCACTGCAGCAATTTCTACACAGCAGCAGTCAATAATTGTTCTTTGCTGACTTTGCCAACTTTCTGGCAGTTCTGCTAACTTCGTCAAACACTTGAAGAATCAACATTCATAATAATAATAATAATAATAATAATAATAATAATAATAATAATAATAATAATAATAATAATAATAATAATAATAATAATAATAATTTCATTTAATTCAAGTACATGTAAAAGGTATACAGGCCTAGCTGACATCAATGACATACTACTATATAGGAAGCCGCTTGCTAATGCAGAGCATTTTGGGCAAATTAGGTCAGATATGTCCCAGGATGCGACCCACACCAGTTGACTAACTCCCAGTTACCTATTTTACTGATGGGTGAACATAGACAACTAGTATAGGGAAACATATCCGATGTTTCCAGCCAGCTAGGTATTATGGCTAGCTGGCCCAGTGGCTAACGTGGAGGTCTGAAGTTTTGACACTCTCTGATCACGGGTTCTATCCCCGTCTGTGGTATGGTTTGTTTTCAGCCCTTTGCTGGGAATCAAACCCAGACCCTCACCATGTGAAGTGAGAGCTTTTGCCACCAGGCCAGCTGAAACCAAATCTCTCTGTAGATCTTTATTGGCTTTCTTGGGATCCTTCACACTATTTCTTATGATAATCTTGTCATTGTGAGGTGTTGTCTTGCATTTTCTTCACATCTTCCTCGACACAGCACTACACAATCACCAGTGTTGTCAGCTTTCTTCAGAATTCAACCAACATTTGACTTTCCTAGGTTCAAATTATCGGCAGTCTTTCTGATACTCGAGTCAGCATGATTTCTAAAAGCTTCAAAACCCTCATGTTTCCTAGGTGTAGCAATCATGAATTTCAGCAGTAATCAGGAATGGTC